AATATTATAGTCATCTGAGTTTTAATTCTTGCATGTAATATATAACCAAGTAGTTCACTGTTAACTCTTAACTATATCAGATATAATTATTAATAAAGATAAAAACAAGACCTCACCTTGACCACAAGGTCAAATAAAAAAAAAAAAAAAAAAAAAGAAATAATCATAGTTATACTGACAAAAAATATTATTAAAGAGTTAATAATTAATTATACTCAAATTCCAAAAATCCCAATCAACTCAACAAAAACTGAAACTCATATTTATATTAATCACAATATTTCTCTTCTCCTAAATCATACTATCTTATCCCCTCATGATTAACTACAATACTTTCATTTACCTCTAAAATCAAACTCAAACAATATCTCTATTACAAACAATAACTTTAATAACAATAATAATACCTCAATAGAATATACCTCACTTGCTTTAAAAATAGCTTCTATAAATATTAATAGTCTTTTACAATCTAATAAACAACTTACTTTATCTTAAATACTTAATAATATTTCTTATCAAATTTTAGAAATATCAGAAACATATCTCTCTACAAAATAAGTAAATTTCTTAAACAAACATATTCAAAATTACAAAAGCTATTAGAGCTCTTATAAAAATTCATATCAAGCAGGTGTAGAAATATTTATTCACTAAAATATCTTAAAATATATTGCCAGAATATATAACTACAACAGATATATTGTAGGTTTTGATCTCTACCTCAAAAACAAACTAATTAGATTACTACAAATCTATATTCTAACCTTAGAGAAAAAACAATTTCATAAAGAAATTCAAGAAAAAATAATCTCTTTAATACAAAATACTACTTACAAAACAATACTTATAGGAGATTTCAATAGTATTTCAAATATATATATTGATAGTAATCCTTCTAAAAAAATATCAATACCTGAACTCTAACTCATTAAATATCTAATTAGTCACCAATTTAAAGATAGCTACTGTACTTTCTTTCCTAACTCTAAAAACTACACATTCTATTGTCAAAATATATAAAGTTAAATTGACCAAATTTGGACAAATTTATCAATAACAAATATTAACTATGCAGATATACTTTATGACAATATACTTGAATTAGACCACAATATTACAACTATTGAAATCTTAATTATAATTAACAAATCTAAATCTCAAAAATAATATAAACAAAAATACTTTCTTTAGAAGAACTACACTAAAGAAAAAATTAAAAATTATGCTAAACAAATAGCTCAAAGTCTTCAAAAAATCTCTCTAAAAATAAACAATATATCAAATCAAAACTAACTCAACAATTGCTAGAACTAAATCCACAAAGCATTAATTAAAGCAGTTACTAAATATATTCCTTTTAAAAAAATTAAAACAATTAAAAAAATACAAGATAACTCTTCAACTAAACAACTACCTCTTTTTTATAAATATAAACAAATCCAATATCTTAAAAACTATTTCTTATCCTCAAACTTTAATACTCTGTTTTCTAAATATTTAACAGATTATTCAGACAACTTCTTTGTCTCTACTATACCTACTCTTAACCAAATTAAAAATGAATTCTAACTCATTAAAACAGTACTTAACTATTAGCAAAAATAAGATACTTATAATAAAATTAAACAAAAAATAGAAAACTATAACAAATTTTTTAAAGAAATACCTAAACTTTTTTACAAAAAAATATTAGAAAAATATAATAACCTTAACTTAAACAGACTCCTAACTAATAATACTCTACTTACAGAATATGATAAAATTCTAAATGTAGTTTAATATCACTTCTCTAATTATTTTAAAGAAAAATCTACTCAACTAATACTACTATCTTCTGAATTCTTTTAATTATACTAACTACATTCAGAATTCAAATATCATTACCAAAACCTCTTTACTGAAATATCTAATCAAAAAATGACAAAAGACCCTTGCTAGCCTTCATAATTAAAAAGTAGTAAGCCTTTCTGAAATCTGCTATGAATATATCAAATAATCTGATTAAAAAATACAAAAAATCTTAAAGTTATTTATTAACAAATGCCTTTAACTTCAAAAAGTACTAACAGAATGGAAATCTTCAAATATTTTCTTAATTCCAAAAAAATCTGATTAGGACTTTACTCTCAACTAAGTTAAACCTATCTCTATTATTGAACTATTCAAAAAACTCTTATGAAAATATTCACTAAATGACTCAATAAAATTATCACTTCAAATAATCTTCTCTTTAACTTAAACTTTGCTGGAACCAAAAATATATCAACATATATACTAATTCAAATACTATATAATACAATAGAATAATATATATTTCAAAACAAAGAAGCTTGAATTTTATTTCAAAATATGTCTAAAGTAATTGACAAAATATATATCTCTTGACTTCAGGAAACATGTAAAAAAATAGATATTCTAACCAAAGGTATAAACTTTATTACTAAACTACATACTTCTCAACTTGCAAAAATTATTACAGGATATAATTTTAATACTTTAGTTTAACTGAGCTTTAGTATTGAACAAGAAAAAATATACTCATCTCTACTTTAGAAAATTTATTATGATCTAATTCTTATTTTCATCTCACAAAAATACCAAAACTACCTCTTAAAAATTTCTAATCAATCTCCTCTTAAACTCATCTTAAATACTACTTTATCTACTATTACCATTCCTCTACTAGCATATATAGATAACATAGTATAGTACTGTAAAAATTAGAAAACAATACAAAATATACTCAATGATACATCAGCATTAATGAAGTCAACAATCTAACTATTAATTTATCTAAATCTGATCTATTACATATTAAATTCTAATCTTCAAAATTATAACTAACTATACTATTTATATATAGAAACCAAACTATCATACCTAGAAAATCTGAAGAAATTATAAGATATCTTGATATATTCTATGATAAAAAAGACTCAACTAAACCAACTCTTGAAACAATTTATAACAAAATTGAAAACTTTCTTTTATTAATCAAATTTAAAAAACTTTCATTATTACAAATCTCTTCACTATTTAATCTTATACTTCAATCTTTCTTAGAATATTTACTTCAAATAGTCTCTATTCACAAAACTATATAATTAAAACTTTCTCATCTGCTTATAATTCAAACCAAAATAATATTTTTTCTAACAAAAAAATACTAATAATATTGTATTAACAAACTCACTCTCTTTTAATCTCCTAATACTTAATAATATTATTCAAAAAGTAAGTACTTCAAATATTAAATGTATTTTTACAACAGATCCACTTCTTAAAAGAATTGAAATCTCTTGAATTAAATCCTAGTTATCAAAAATATGATATCTAAAATTAACTTAAAACCTATTAAATACTTATATATATAAAATACAAAACTATACTATAATCTTTTATCTCTTATAACTATCCAAAAACAATATTACTCTATCTAACTTTTCACAAATTTTCATATACCCCTTAACAATCTCAGAAAATTCTCTTTTAATGATGAAATACTTCTTACAAACCCTTATAGTTTAATCACTAGTAGTCTTAAAAATAACAATATTCTTTTTATTGAACAAATTACTACAGCTGATAACAAATATCTCTTATCATAGAACAATATCTATCTTCATACAAATAAACCAATTAGAAAATATATATCTAACTAATTTAAACAAATTTCACAATATGCTCAAAATAATTTAATATCTTATACTTAACTATAGCTAAATCCACCACAAATTAACTCTTTTATTAATACAGTTAATCTTATCTCACCAAACTTCTCTCTAAACTACTTTTCTTTTAAACTTCACTTTTTAAAATATTTTTATTTTCTATTACTCTAACTCTCAACTAACTTTATTTTATCATGTTACAAATATACTCTCTGAATAAACTCTATTAACTCAAATCTTTTTTTTTTTTTTAGATGCAGAATGTATTTTTTTATTGAATAAAATAAAATTTATACAGATTATATATCAAAGTTTAAAAATTTTACTATGCTATCTTTGTCTAAGCTAGACTTTTTAAGTAATAAGTACTTTTGTAAAGTTTTAAAAATTCTTCATAGTTTAGATTTAGTAAGATTTGAAATAGTATTTGTAGGAATCTTTGATTACTCTATTTTGCTGTAGTATACTAGCATCAGATTTTATATATGATATTAATATAAATCTATTGATCTGTTTTCTATTTTAAAGAGTGGATAATATTATTTGCAGTAAAAATTTTATTAAGAGAGAAGGGTTTAGAGTCAGTTTCTGTAAGTTTTAAAGAACTGTAGCTTATAGTCTAGAATATTTAACTAATTTTATAACCAAAGGCAAAGTGTTTTAGAGTTTGTAGAGAGTCTTGACAGTTAGAGCAATATCCATCTTGGTCTTATGAAATATGTTTTAGTTAGTACCCTAAGAAAAGGGCTTTGTAGGCAATCTGCTAGAAAATATCTGTTTTTTTGTTTAGTATATATTTTGATTTTATTCAGGAAAAGAGATTATTACTGTAAAAGAGCTCTACAAGGTTAGAGGTTTTTCTAAAAAGATTTAGCTGTAGCAAAAGTTTAGTTGCTTTTTTAACTATAGATTCTGCTCCTGATATTGTATTCATTTTAAGATATTCTAAAGTCTAGAGCCAATTATCTGCAGAATCAACTTTGCTTTAGAGTTTTCTCTATACTCTAAGGTAAAGTTTCTATCTCTCTAGCTATCTTTTTGATCTAGTAGAGTTTTATTTGAGTATGAAATGAGTTAAGATGTCCTTTGCAGTATGAGTATTATTTGAGATTAGATTTCTTTCTATTCTTGCCTATAGACAGTTGCTTGTAAGAAGTTTAATCCAAATAGAAGTTAATTTAGCATCAATAATATTTTTAAGAATTAGTATAGAAAGTCTTATTTAGTTCAAATTAAGCTAAAAGGTCAAGTAGCAAGGAAAGAACTTTGATTTGTTTTTGATCTAGTTCATTATAATTTTGTTAATTTCTTCAAACTGTTTTCTGCTAGGTAGAAGTAGATAAGTAGTATACCATATTATAGAAATAAGAAGTGATTTTGTGACAAGAATTTTGGCTTTAAGAGACAAATTTCTAGTTGATAAGTTGTTAATATAGTTTTGAATCAATTTGGTTATCTTTGTCTATAGGTTTTTTTTTGAAGCACCTTTGATATCTACTTCATAGCCTAGAATTGAAAGTGTATCTGTGTTTTAAGTAAGGATTTTGAATCTGCTTTGATTACAAAGCTCAATTCTACAGGCATTATCTGTAAAAGAATCAAAATAGACTTTGATTTGTTGATATTAGAGTTAGAAGTAGTTTCATATTTGCTGAGAATATAATTGAGAGATTCCCAGTCTAAAAGTGAACTAATTCTAATCATTAGATTATCTGCATAAGCTGCTACTTTGAAAGATAGGTTTGATATTCTGATACTATTTAGGATTGTCTATAAAGATTAGTGAAGAGAGTTTATAGCTAGGATATATAGAAGAGAAAAAAGAAAATCACGCTATTTAACTTCTCTCTCTACTCTAAAAGGCTTAGAGAAGTATTCTGAATCCATAATATAGGCTTGTTGTGAACTAAGGAGAGAGTCAATTATCTTGCTAAACTTGAAATCAAAGTTCATTTTGTTCAAGACAGTTTTTATAAATTGATAGCTAACTCTGTTAAAAACTTTTTGTTGATTGAGAAATTATAACTAGTTTTGTTTAGTTTAGTCAGGTTGGTTTCTTAGAGTAGTAAGGATATCTAAGGTCATGTTAGTAATAGATCTGCTAGAAATGAAGGCTTGTTGATAAGAAGAAATTATATTACTGCAGACTAAGTTTAGTCTGTTAGCAAAGATTTTTATAAAGATCTTAACATTACTATTGATAAGTAAAATAGGCCTCTAATTACTAATATTCTCTAGGTTATTTAATTTCTTAATAATAAGAGTAATTATATTTTTGCTCTATGAGAGAGGTATTTGTTCTGTAGTTAAAACATTGTTAAAAAGCTTAGAGAGTAGAAAAAGTTAGAGGTCTTTTAGAAATTTATAAAATTCATAGATAAGCCTATCTGATATCAAACAGAGAATTTACTTCTTCTAGAGTTTTTAAAAACTGCTAATTATAGTATGAAGACTATAACTTTATAGCTTGTTATATAGTATCTAGAATTAAGACTTAATAAAGAAGTTTTTGTAGTAATTTATATTAGAGCTAAGAGGCAAATAATAAATAGTATATGAAGATACTAAGTATTATATTTTTATTGAGAATTGTATGAAGACAAGACTGCTTTACTAGAAGAGCAGAAAGGTAGTGTATTTATAGAGAATTTATATTTATAAATTATTAGAATAAAGATAAGTTAACTAAAAATTACTATACTAAATAATAATAAATAATATAATAGATATAATAGAAATAATATATATAGTAGAAATAGTATATATAGTCTGGTGATCTTAGTGTAGTGGTTAGGTTACTAGACTGCCATATAAGCGGTCTGTAGTTCAAATACTGCTGTTGACAAATTTGAATAATTACCTAGACTTTTGTATCTAACTTATGGTAAACTTTGTCTGTTTCTGAAGTTGTAACCTTATAAATCTCATTGCACTAATATCATCTGAATATTGGAAGCATAATATAAAATTGCATGAATAAATCTTAATAGATTCTATGAGCAGGAGATCTGTATAGTAGAAATCTAGTTGGTGAAGTAATATAGCTTTCAATAGTTATACTAGCTAATACTTGATTTGAATAGAACTGTTACTTAAAAAGATATAGATTAAATTAGGTGCAAATAAATTCATTCTACAGGAAGAATTAGCAATACCAACTTAGCTTAGCAGCTAACTAGATTTAGGAAGATCTACCCTGTAAAATATCCAAAGAGATTAGCAAACAATATCAGTAGAGAGCTATAGTAGGAACTAGTATTATATGAATATCTACAAAGATCTAAACTAGGTGAATTTGTAAAATAAGCATAGATTGCTCTAGTAGAATTACTTACAAAGTTAACTAGAACTCTGCATGCTACAATATGTTAAGCAATATGCATCCCAAGAAGACTTAAGCTGAGTTAGGTAAATAGATCTGTAACAAGCTAGCTGGCTTAAGCAGTTAGGTGTTACAGTAATGTTATTTGATTCTAGTATAAGTTAGGTGAATAGAGTGTTTAAATAGATAACTTATAAGTGAGTTACAGATATAGTAGCTTATGTAGAACTAAACAAGTAATCTATTTGCATAGTAGACTACTTAAATTAGATAATAACTAAAGTTGTATATATAGCAAATTGTATACTTTTCATATAATTACAAACTATAGAGGATTACTAACAGACGACCTCATATATTAAACTAATAAAATCTGCTCAGTATAGTAAACCACCTTTATTAAAAAAAAAAAAAAAGAAATAGTATATATGATATATATAATAAATATAAAAGAAATAGTAGATATAATAGATCTAGTATATATAATAGATCTAGTAGAAAGTGTAAAAATAGTATAAATAGTAGATAGAGTAGAAATTATTGATTTTGGGTATAGTTATGATTATCTAATTAGAATTAAATTATATGTTGTATATGAATTAATATTTATAAAACTTTAATGATCTTGAAATCCTATGATACAACTCATATAATCTTATGCTTATTAGAACTATCTTGATATACTGATTCCAATGGTATAAGTTTTATTAAGATTAAATCATTGGTTTAAAAGTTATTAGCAAAAATATGAATTTTACTATTATAACACTAGTTCAGGAGATTTGTTATTTAGAAGGTTATCAATAGTATTACTGATTTCTTCTTCAGTAATAGATTTAACTAGCATAGTGTTCTAGTCTTGTGAGATAAGAGGAGTATTTCTGAGTAGCTCTTCTGCTGCTCAAAGATTAATTGGTTCTGCTTTGTAGAGAGATTTGTAGAAGTTTTTGATATATTCTAGAATTTTTGGTTGAGAATTAGAGGTAGAGTTATTAGAGATTCTGACTTTAGTACTACAAGAAGTAGAATACCTAATTTTGTATTAAGAAAAAAAGAATTTAGTTGATTTTTCTTCTTTCTTAATCTATTTGGTATTTAATCTAGTTTGCTATTTTCAGAGAGTTGTTGTAGCTCCTTCTGAATTTGGTCTTTAATTTCTTCTGATAAGGCTTTAAGGTCTGTGAACCTAGAGTTATTTGTTATTCTATTATTCAATTTAGATAATCTGTTCTGCAAGATTTGGATTTTTCTTTCTAGAAGCTGTTTAGGTTTAGCTGATCAAATTATTAACTGTATTATATATTTGTAAAAATCTTACTTGCTAATATTTTTACAGCTTTGAAGATTTTTTGTAATTTTATTTCTAACTTCAGAGTCGAGTAGTTTCTTTGAGTCAAGTCTTCAGATTATAGCTTGAGTTAGTGTAAACTAATACTAGATTATATATTTTATAAGAAGGTAATCAGAGTTACCAAAATGTATTAGAGTTTTTCTTTCTAAGTAGCTGAAGTTTGTATCAATAAAGATGTAATCTAGTTGAGTTGCTATTTGTTAGTTACCCTGTGTGTTTTAATAAAAGGTGATAAATAGTCATTCTCAAAGTTGCTAGCTGAATTAGTAAATTCATTTATTAAGTTTTGTAATATAGCTTTGGAAGAGTCATTTTGAGTTAGTACTTGGCTTATTCTATTTTTTTGAGAATTCAAATTAATATTAAAGTTTCTAACAAGTATGTTTATAAAGCCTTCATTAATTTAAGGTGCCTAGTTTGAAAAGAATATTTGTCTGTCTCTTAGATTTGGAAGAGCATAAATATTTGTGAGTAAGAAGTTGAGGTTGTTAATTAATATTTTAGTGAGAATACTTAGTCTTTGAGAATTGAATATATTTTTTTATAGAAAGTATTGCAATTTTAGTAGTTTAAAATGAGTCAAAGCTTTATTATTGAGTTTTAGAATTGTTTAAGTTGGTTTCTTGAATTGCAATTATATCTAGGTTATATAATTTAGTAAAATTAAAGTTTTGTGTACTTCAACCTTGTTATTAAGGCCTTTCATATTAAGGATTACTATTTTGATATGTTTTATAGACATTATAATAGAGAAGTAGGTTAATAATAAGAGTTAAAATCTCTTAGTATAAGCTTGAATCTGAAGGAAGCAACTCTGTATTCTGTGTAAAAATGTCTTCTCCTGAGTGTGACAATCTCTTGTTTTTTGTTTTACTTTTAGAAATTGCTAGAGTAGACTTTTTTTCTAGGATTTGAGGTTTACTATCTATGTCTATTGTATCTGAGCTAGAAATAGATTTTGTCATAGTGTTGTTATTAGTTTTTGTATTTAAGAAGGAGTCTGAGAAGGTTGTGTTATATTTGATTGAGAAGGCTGTTGCCTCTTTTAGAGTAGTTATCAGAGAGTGTAGCTTAGATATATTGCTTTCTTGGGTATAAGGATTATTTGAGCTAGAATTAACTTGAAGTTCTGAAGTCTTATTACTCAGAATTTTTGTTTGTCTTAGTTCTTTGTAATAGTTTTACAGTAATAGCAGATTTTAGGAGCTTTCTTCTATTTTGTAATAACTTTATAGTCTCCTAAATAAGTAGTTTTTAGAAG